AAAAAAAGAAAGAAAGAAATAGGGTCTTGCTAAGTTGCTTAGGGTCTTGCTAAATTGATGAAACTGGTGTGGAATTGTGATCCTCCTGCTTCAGTCTCCAGAGTCACTGGGAGAACAGCTGTGTATCACCATACCCTGTTTATCCATGCTACTTCTAAAAGCATCTTGTCATCTACAGGTGACCCTAATCCTTAACAATATATTCAAGTTTAACCAGTGATTGTACGTGGTTAAAATCTAAATAATTAACTTAAGTAAAATAAATGTGTTGGTGTTTAGAAGTTAAGGGAAGATCAAATGGCTGAGCTATGTGGGGGGGCATAAATAGAACTGAACCTCAGGAATTACTCAAATAGACGACATGAATACTAATAGGAATTTTCACTTATCCTTCAAACTCTGCCTTTATCAGCATCTAGATTTTATTTTCTCCTGCTGCAAACCAATTTCCTTCACAATATTAGCAAGTAGTTAAGAAGCTCAGCAGGAGCCAGCAGGAGCAAAAAAGACTTTTAAAAAAATGTCTAGTTCAGAAAATTCTCAAGAAAACTAGATTAGTGCAAATCAGGTGTCTACCACTGAATCAATCAGCTGAAATGTGGAAGGTCATGTAAACACAGGAGACCAAGTGGTTGGAATGGAGAAGAAGAATAAAGTTGAGCAGAGAAAGAAAGTGTAAGTGAATGGCAACAAATGACAAGCGACAGGAGGCAGGAAGCTTTCAAGTCAATGGATCAGGCATGGCAGGGCTCATTTTCTGGGTATGGAGATGGCCCCCTGGGGTCACAGAGGAGTCTGGGTTTTTAGTTTACAATGAGGGTGAATTAATCATTGGAGACTGTGGACGTGCTGTTCAAATAGTCAGGGACCTAATTGAGCAGGTTAAAATTTTAACTCAGGAAGGCAGTTGTAAAAAGTTTGAAATTCATTGTCACCAGGAATAGCTCACAACTTGGTGTTCATTGCTTGTCTTCCTTCCTCTGGGATCCATTGTTACCTATTTGCTTTTTTCCTTCCAGGACTCATCTGCAGTGGGGAAAGGGTACTGTTTCACTGTTCACCTCCTCCCTTTTTGGTTGGGAAGGGGCAAATGTTTGCTTTGATGGAGATGCTGGAGATGAAACTGGGAAAGGATGAAAGTTTGCTTTTTCCCTCGAGTCCCATTGTTACTGGGAAAGGATGTACTGGGAGAGGTTTAATTTTGGGGGCAATTTCTTCTCCCCCCTCCCAAATCACACTGTCCATTTTTCCCACTGTCTTTCTGTTTTTCCCGGGGAATTTTCTTGTAGGAATATTATTTTCTATAACTCTCAGAAAGAGGAGCAGAGAAAACCTTAACTTCACTAAGAGGAGTACCGAGTGTGGTTTAGGCAGATAGTTGGAATGAGAAATTAAAGATAAGTATAAATAGGATAGATGGAGTAGGAGATCATGGAAGGCTTAGAATTTATGCAATGGCATATCTAGATGCCAAAATGAATATGGTATTTAGCTTTGGATGCCACATTTTATTTTACTTATTTTTTGGTTGAACCCAGGGGTGCTTTACCACTGAATTACATCCCCACTCCTTTTGTTTTTTTTATTTTGAGACAGGGTCTTGTTAAGTTGCATAGGGTCTCACTAATTTGCCTAGGTTGACTTTGAACTTGCGATCCTCCTGCCTCAGCCTCCTGAGTCACTGGGATTACAGTTGTGTGCCACTACACCTGGCTAGGTGTAATATTAAAAAAATGGAAACAGACATGTCCAATGTCCAGATTAGGACAATCTGTTGACTGTAGGCTGCGTAAAGGCAATGACTATTTGTTATCACTGGGTTTGAAAGGAAGGATTGAGAGATCAAAGAAAGGAAAGAGGACTCAAGAGGGATTGGGGTGTGTGAGTGAAGGTTTTGGACAGGAGCTAATATTAGCCAATGATTTCCAGCTTGGAAGCATGTGGGGAATTATAGAAATATGGACAATAAAAGGAGGAGTTAATATGTGAAAATGTGGTATATTCAGCTTTAGACATATATGAGATGCTGGTAGTGTATCCCACACCTGGAATTGCTACAACAGTTATAAATGAATGCTGGGGTTTAGGAAACAAGTTTATTAAATTGTCTGTATATAACTCGTATTTGAAGCTGCAAAAGAAGGTATAGGCCCAGCATGGTGGTGCAAGTCTGTAATCCCAGTGATTTGGGAGACTGAGGCAGGAGGATTGCAAGTTCAAAGCCAGCCTTGTCAATTTTGCGAGTCCCTAGGCAAATTAGCAAAGACCCTGTCTCAAAATAAAAAAGGCTGGGGATATAGCTTAGGGGTAGCTACGCCTGGGTTCAATAAAAAAGAAAGAAAAAGGAAAAATAGGGGATGGGGATGAGGCTCAAGCGGCAGCGTGCTCGCCTGGCATGCGTGCAGCCCCAGTTCGATCCTCAGCACCACATACCAACAAAGATGTTGTGTCCGCCGAAAACTGAAAAATAAAATGTTAAAAATTCTCTCTCTCTCTCACTCTCTCTAAAAAAAAAAAAAAAAAAAAAGAAAAGAAAAGAAAAGAAAAAGGAAAGGAAAAATATATATACAATGGAAGTATGAAAGTCCAGCTGAGTGGGTGACCCCACTAAGTGAGATTGGGGAAGGGCTGCCGAACATTTGCACGGAGGTCTCTAAGGGGGCAGAACCAACAGAAATAGCTTTCTGAGGTCACAGGTAGTTCTTGGGAGATCAGGGGAAGATGAGGCACTAAGGCACCTACGCGCCTGAGGAATGAATGAACGAGAGCGATAATTAGCTCCTATTCGAAAGATACAGGGGGAGTTGGCAGCCTAAGAGCGGGATGCAGGAAGGAGAAGCGAAAAACTTCCCTAAATTTTCCTCTCTCTCACAAAGGGCAGAAAAGATCAGGAAGAGTGAAAGCCGGGCTTTCCGGGGACAGGAATACAAGACTTCGAATCTTCCTGCTTTGGGACCTTTGCTACTCTGCCTGGAACTCTAGTGTTTAAGCACGTAGTTTGCCTCCGGAAGGAAAAAGCAGATGGACCGTCACAGGAATAGTGGAGAACCCGGCAGGAAAATGTGGAGGACCCGGGCGGAAACCTTGCTTAGTCTAGTGGAAGGTGAGCAGTCGCTGAACAGCAGTTGGAAATTTGGGGCAGGGTAGAGCGACGCACCCCTTGCAGGTGAGGACTGAGGGAGGCTGCTGCAATATCGAAAGCATCCAGCTTTCCGTGGCTGGGCTATATCGGGCCCGGGTCGGGAGCTAAACGTCTGGACTTCAAAATTAGTTTTGCCGCTAACTGTGTGACCTAGGTTAATTTAATCTTGGAACCTCGTGTCTGTAATTGGAATAACGATAGTACCTCTCAAGAGTTGTGAAGAGTGAATGAAAAAACAGGACAGTTTCTGGCAGGTAGTAAGTACGCTCTGTTTTTTACTGATGTTAACTTACTTCCAGCAGCGTGAATTCCGTTGTCAAACTCACCGTTAACCTCGGCCTGGCGTCGTCCAGCTACTAGGTTTGACTTTATAGATGAAAATACAAAGGGCAAACAGTGTCGGGCACGTTGGCACTTGTCTTTAATTCCAGCTACTTGGGAGACTGGGCTGGAAGGATCACTTGCGCCCAGGAGTTTGAAACCAGCCTGCTCAACATAGCAAGACCCCTTCTTAAAAACAACAGCCAGGCGTGGTGGCGCATGCTTGTAATCCCAGCGACTGGAGAGGCTGATGGAGGAGGATGGCAAGTTCGAGGCCAGCAATTTAGCGAGCCTCTATCTCAAAATAAAAAATATAAAGGGCTGGGGATGTATCTCAATGGTAGAGCGCTACTGGGTTCAATTTCCCCGTGCTGACAAAAGATCCCCACAAAATATTTGTAACTAAAGTTATACTATTATTGGAGAAGTAACAACAGAAGGTTTGGAAAACAGGGTAAATAATGTTACACAATTCCATCATCCTACATAATATTTTAAGCTTTCCCCCCAATATTTCATGTCTGTGGATTTTTATATGTGAAATATTAGGGTATATGCAATTTTGGTTCCTTTTAATTTGCAACAGTATTGTAGCCTGAGCATGGAGTTCAGAAGAATAATTTTAATAATAATAATATTGTAATATTAATATTATTTGATTGTGTTGTTAATTGTAATATTATTGTACTGGAGATTGAGCCTAGGACATTCTACCACTGAGCTCCATCTCCAGCCCTTTTTATTTTTATATTTTATTTTTTGGAACCTGGGGATTGAACCCAGGGTAGCTTAATCAAGAGCCACATTCCCAGCCCTTTTTCGTGTTTTATTTAGAGACAGGGTCTCACTGAGGTGCTTAGGGCCTCATAAGATGCTAATGCTTGCTTTCAACTCAGTGATCCTCCTGCCTCAGCCTTCTGAGCTGCTGGTATTACAGCCGTGCACCACTGCACCCCGATTGATTGATTGATTGATTGTACCTGGGATTGGACTCAGGGCTACTCAACCACTGAGCCACATCCCCAGCCATATTTTGTACCTTATTTAGATTTAGGATTTTACTGAGTTGCTTAGCATCTCTCTGTTGCTGAGACTGGCTTTGAACTTCCTGCCTCAGCCTCCTGAGCTTCTGGGATTATAGGCCACACCTAGTTTAAAAGATTCGTTTTTCTGATTGTATAAAATTCCATTTTATGGGGCTTATCATTTGTTTTTATAAATTTCTGAATATGTAAGGTAAAATCATGCATATATGACCAATGAGGGGGGCCTGGGATGTGGCTTAGCGGTGAAGTGCTTGCCTAGCACCACTGGGATCTGGGTTTGATTCTCAGCACCACATAAAAATAAATAAATAAATAAAGACATTGTGTAGTGTCCATCTACACCTAAAAAATAAATATTAAAAAAAAAACTCTGACCAATGAGGGAACTTTATTACTCATTATTTCAGTATCTCAGATCAATTCTTTTTTTTTTAACATTTATTTTTTTAGTTGTAGATGGACACAATACCTTTATTTTATTTATTTTTATGTGGTTCTGAGGATCAAACCCAGGGCCTCCCACATGCTAGGCGAGCACTCTGCCGCTGAGCCACAATTCCTCTTTTTATTTTTATTGGTTCCCTTATGCTTTTAGTTTATGTGAAAAAATTCGGTATATGGTTTTCATTTATTCCACAAACATTACTGTTCCAGCCAGAGTCTCTAAAGTTAACTAGCTTAAAAAACAAACAAACAAACAAAAAAACCAAGATTCTAATGTTATGTGAAAGCTATGAGAGGTATGCATGGATTCTTAGGAGAATATGAAGAAAGACTATAGTGTCAATCAGTGACTACCCCGAACATGCCTGTAGTTGAGTAAGTTGGGTTTATTACCTCTTGTAAGGGGGAGAACACACACCCTGGGGAAACATGGGGCACCTCAGTAACAGGGTTCTAGAAAGGACTTTCTGTATTTAGCCTTGATATTAGGGAGAGTACTGTGAGGAGGTGGAGGTAATTCTATGATTGGGAGAGAAAACTGGAAGTGAGACTAATGCTATGATTGGTCAAGATGCAGTATTCAGGGGCTGGGGATGTGGCTCGGGCGGTAGCGCGCTCGCCTGGCATCGTGCGGCCCAGGTTCGATCCTCAGCACCACATACCAACAAAGATGTTGTGTCCGCCGAGAACTAAAAAATAAATAAATATTAAAAATTCTCTCTCTCTCTCTCTCTCTCTCTCTCTCCTCTCTCTTTAAAAAAAAAAAAAAAGATGCAGCATTCACTCATACAGCCTGAAAAGTAAAATGTTTGGTTTTTCTTCTTTAACTTTTGCTGTGCTGGGGATCAAGCCCAGAATCTTGTACATAGTAGACAAGCGCTCTCCCACAGAGCTACACCCCCAGCCCTGCTCATTTTTGTGGTTTGAACAATGTTCATGTTTTTGCTGCATTCAGACATGATTCAGATGGTCATATTATAGCTGAGGGTTTTGCCCAGGGATATGAGAAGTTAGGTCAGGTGGGCACATTTTGGAGAGCCTTGTGTGCCATTTTAGGAGTTTAAATTTCTAGAAGGAATTGCTGAAGTATTGTAAAGAGAGTGCTATCATAGTTAGAAAAAACCCTATTGTTTTCAGACAAAGGATGAATTAGGAGAAGAGATTAGAGTTAGGGAGATGAATTAAGGGTTTGGTACATAAAAAGTGTGTTTCCTGGGACTGGGGATGTGGCTTAGTGGTAGAGCGCTTACCTAGCACTTGTGAGGTGCTGGGTTTGATCCTCAGCACCACATAAAAATAAATAAATAAATAAATAAATAAATAAATAAAGGCAGGCATTGTGTCCAAATACAACTAAAAAATATTTTTTTAAAAATGTATTTCCTATGGGCCAACAAGGGTATCATCTGGAAGTTTCTTAGGAATGCCGAATCTCAGGCCCTACTGTATACTTTACTGAATCAATTACATTTTATCAAAATTCCCAGGTAATTCATAGACTTCACAGACCCTTTAAAGTTTGAGAAGCTCTTTATAAAGCTAATTATGTAGGTCTGGTAAAAAAATAATAAGACTCTGAACCTAGACACTCATGGCCAAGGTATAGAAATGTAGAGTTATATGTTCAACAAATAATAGATGTGACCTACATGGCAGGTGTCATACTGGGAGCTGGAGTTGCCACAATGAAGATAGTCTTCCCCTCAAGATACTGCCAATCTGGTGAAGCATGGTAGCTCACGCCTTTAGTTCCAGCTACTTGAGAGGCTAAAGCAAGGAGGATTGCAAGATCAAGCCTGTCTAGGCAATTTAGTGTTAACCTGTCTCAAAATAAAATATACCTGAGTTCAATCTCTAGTACCACCACCACCACCAAAAAAAAAGTGTGTGCCATTGGATACTTATTAGACCACAAGTATTCTCTAATTGGTACACAGAGTGGAGTGTGACCAGAGGTGAGGTTTGAGAAATAAGCAGAGGATACCCAATCTGAAGGAGTTTAGTTAGAACTTGTGCAGAGTTTAGTTAGACCCTGGGCTTTACAGGGAGGCCCTGAAGAGTTTATGTGTGTGTGTGTATGTGTGTGTACATGTGTGTTTGTGCACATGCTGGGGATTGAAGGGTTGTTTTTTTTTTTAATATTTATTTTTTAGTTTTTGGCGGACACAACATCTTTGTTTGTATGTGGTGCTGAGGATTGAACCTGGGCTGCACGCATGCCAGGAGAGCGCGCTACCGCTTGAGCCACATCCCCAGCCCCATGAAGGGTTTTAATTAATCAGTCAAGAGAAATTATCAGGGGCTGGGTTATAGCTCAGTTGTAGAGCACTTGCTTTGCATGTGTGAGGCACTGGGTTCAATCCTCAGCATAACATAAGATGAATAAATAAAATAAAGAATTTAAAAAAGAGAGAAATTATCAGTTTTGTTGATTTTTTTTTTCCCTTTTGCATGCTGGATGTCAAATCCATGACCTTACACATGCTAGCCAAGCACTGCTATAACTATAGTCTTAGTATTGTTCTTAGGGCCTTTCGAGCAGGGTGTGGTAGTGCATGCCTGTAATCCCAGCAACTCAGGAGGCTGAGGCAGGAGGATTGCAAGTTCAAAATCCGCTTCAGCAATTTAGCAAGGCCCTAAACATCTCAAAATTTAAAAAGGCGGAGGTGCTGGGGAAGTGGCTGAGTGGTAGAACTCCCCTGGGTTAAATCCCAGTACA